TCTTACTTTATTCACTTCTAGATCTGCAATTATTAACTGCCCTTTTCGTTCCTTCATCTCAGTCCAGGCTTGGCGACGAGCGGCCAACTCATCACCCATGCCAGCGAGGGATCCATCTAGAGAGATGCATACGCTTGCCACCTCTGGACAGTGTACTAGATGGGGACTGTCTACCTCTTTAGTTTCTGCCAATGGGACCTTCGAATGGGAGGATTTCTTTTTTTCAACACCCGAAGTCCTTGTAGAGGCAACTGGGACCTCTACTAGTTATTCCCTTTTGCCATCTTGTAGTCAGGGCAATAAGGGACAATGTGGTCGGGGTCCCCACATTTAAGGCACTGGTCGGGAGCTTTTCTTTCCTGCCAAACTTTTTCTGTGATCCCCAGTTTCTTCCAAGGTTCCCCTTCGGGTAGACCTGGATGAGGTGGGTATGGCTTATCCCAATTGTTGTACCACGTGCCTCTTCCTCTTCCCCAGGCAGAATTGAAACCACGGCCATCTTGCGAGGGACCATAACCCCTTCCACCCGCGTAGTAGCTACCTTCGCCACCACCCCTCTGGGTACCGGGTCCTCTTCCACCACGTCTGCGGCCTCCTCTTCCTCGGCCACGACCTCTTCCTTGGCGCCCTCCCCCGCAGGCTGCAACGGCCGCGTAGCTCCCCTCCTGAGCTACCGGACCGCTGGGTCCTTGCTCAAGACCATAGTCTATTTGGTCATGGGAAAGAGTTTCGACACCTCCTTCTTCAAAAGTTGGAAGAAGGTTGTCTTTCGCAGGTATGTTGCCTGAGATTGTGCGGTTTTGCCACTTCTTACCGGCTCGCAGATCCTTCCAGTAATGACAGTGCTTCAGCTAAGAAGTCAATATGATGTATAGCGATCTTGCTGAACTTCTCATAAGTCATCCCTTCTTCTTTTGTGCGGGGATAAAGTTGAGCACGGAGAGGATCAGGAAGTGCCCTAGCGAAGTTGTTGAGGATTTGAGTAGGAGTTAGGCCATGCTCAGCGCATTGCAAGAGTTCGTCCATCGTTGCTTTGAGTACAGACGCACTCTTCCATTTCCGATCCGCAATATTTAATTTTAGCATTTCAGTTCGGCGAGCCAGATTTTTATCTTCAAATCATTCTCTTACTACTTTAAAGAAGTCTTCAATCCTGGTTTGCTGTGAATATTCAATCATCGTTTGGCAGTTTGCTTCCTTGTGCAACGATATGGCGAAGCTCATCGCATCGCTGACCATACATGAAGTGGACATCAAAACTCTATCCCATTATGGGATGCGCTGACTGTACACATAAGACTCTACGGCCGCAATCCAATGTAAGACACTTTCCTCCCTCTTGCCAGTGTAAGTCCACGACACTTTGACTTTAATTTTTCTAATATCCCAGTGTCTTCTCGCAGTACCCCCTTTCCTTTCTTATCACCATCTCCTCCATTTCCGTCTCCGTCACCACCTCCTCCTCCTCCTGCGCCGCTGCCCAATTTATCTTATCAATCACGGCGGGAGTAAAGGTTTGTGTGATGTGATTATCTAATTTTTCTGGATGTATGACTGTTTATGCTGATCGACATCCTTTGCGGATTTCTGAAGGAAGGTGTTCCAGACTCCTTCAAATTCGTACTGGTGGGACTCAACATTCTGCAGAGTTTTGTTCATTGCTTCTAATTCTTGTTTGGTATGCAGAACTGTTTCGGTTAAGAGGGCTAACTTTTCTTCTGTTGCCGCTTGTTTGTCTTTTTGTTCTTGCAACTCTCTGTGCAGCCTTGTACCCTCTGCTTGCAATCTCTTCCTTTCGTCTTACTCTTGTCGCTTTGCTGCCAACATCTTAGCATGCAGTTCTGCCTGCTTCTCTTCAAGCATCAGATCCCTTTCTCTCCAATCTGTAATAGTTGCCAGTCTTGCAATGAACACGTCCCTTTCTTCTTCTGTCTCTTCGAGTTGATCGCTGGTATAAGCATACTGGTCGTACCAGTCCAGCGGTTTAACAAACAATTCACCACCTCTCTGACTACTTTCTGCCCTCTCTGTACGCCGTCTAAGGAGTCTTTCTCCCCCTTCTTCAGACTCTTCTTCTTCTATAGTCTGTAATTCTTCCTTTACTCCTCTAACTTTTCTTTCATTTCTTTCTTCACTCTCTCTTCTTCCATCTGCATTTTCTTTTTTATTTCTTCTTCTTTCTGTCTTTTTCTTTCCTCTTTTTCTTTCTTCTTTTCGGTCTGGCGGCGCTCCACTTCAGCCTGTTCCGCAGGCGTGGGCTCCGGCTTGATTGCTCCTGATCTCATCATCATTCGGGAAACACAGAATCTCCCGAAGCCCAGGGGAAAAAATATCCGAAACAAGGGGCCCAACAAAACCGAAAGGGCCATTATCCCTTGCATGGGATAGTCATCCATGGTGGATGACAGCACAGGTGGTCCTTCGCTGGTCCACCAAGAGACTATCCCCAAGCTACTACGAAACTCTATCTGATGTGGATGGGATGTTGTATTCCCTTTTTTTTTTTCTTTTTTCTAAACTCTGAGAATCGCTGCTTCAGAAATAACAGATGTTGGACCATACAAAATTTCACTCTGTAATATGACTTCTTTTTGCTTTTACACGCTGCCTGTCTTTCCCTCAGTTAGCATTTTTCTTTCTTTCTTCTTGGTCTGGCTGTTTCTGTTTGTACTAATCTTTATTGTTTGTCCTCTTGCACAGGGAGAAGTTTGGAATATAACTATGTCAGAGTACCCGGGCTATACTTCGTTCATACAGATTAACGCTGCCCTGTTGCCTTTGCTTAATACCGTACTTGCACCCTGACGTGGCAATCGGCAACTTCACACCAATTTTCCCCACCTTTACTACCTCCTGCAGATATCAGATTAGAGGGGTAGAAGAGAGGACCAACAGGACTCTGACCACTACTACCCCTAATGTGACCAGTCACTTGTGTCCTGACTCCCAGACCAGACCTTAGGTAGACAGCAGCAGCAGCGACCACCAGAGGGAAAGAAGTAGAGTACACACACACGCAACCAGGTAAGGGGATAAGGAGGTACTTCTCTCTTTGAAGCGGCCGTCGATGAAGCTCCTCATTGGTCCGCACTCCAGTGCGCTCCAAGTAAGTAATCTTCTGCCCCTTCCTCTTCGGATTACTTCTTCCCCCAATCCCAATCCACCTCTGTCTCACAACTCCACCATCGCCAGCATCATCCTCAAGCCAGCATTCTCTTCGTCTCGCCGGCCTTACTCATGCCAGCGCAGCGAGTGCAACAAGCTTCTGCTCCGATACCAAGATTGCAAGGGACCTGACTGTCCTCCTCTTGCTGGAGTGTATCACAACGCATGCATGGACAAGGACTCACACACAAGATGAAGCTCACACATAGTCCAAATGAGATGGGATGGAACCAAGATGCGCAGCTCAATTAATCATTAAGTCCAAATGAGATGGGATGGAACCAAGATGCGCAGCTCAATTAATCATTAACACATTATACAAGAGTATATCGAGATCCAAAGCTCAGCGCTCAACATTGTTACAAGTTTCTTCAGTGTTGATTCTCTAGTCAGCGCCACCTTCAGAATGGGGCCTGGCTCAGCCAGCGCCACCTTCAGAACTCAAGTACAGTGCACAGCAGGTAAGTATCCATCATAGCCAGATCCTACCCCACTCTCTCTCTCACTCTCTTGGATCTCAGTGTTGATTCTCTAGTCCCACCATACATGCACACTCCTACTACGAAGATCTACTTTGAATGCTACTCACTGTAGAATAACTACTAACCCACTACCTATACTAACTAGCTGGCGCAGATATGGCTGCCACTTGCAAGCCAGCGCCCAGCTCTCTTCTTCCTCTCAGCGCAGCTTCTCCTCCAGCGCTAACCCAGCCAGCCAGCGCACAAGTGCATGCAGCACTTCCACACCAATATGCCAGTGGGAATCTGATGTCAAGGGAGGCTGGCCTATTGCTTTATACTGCTGGCCTCCCCTGGCGAGGTCTGCATTGGCCTGTATTGGCACTTTGGGCCTTCCTCAGTCCCAGACCCATGCATATGTGTGGGTCCCAGTAATTTCCCCTCAGGGTCTGCTGCTGCTGCGGNTGGCCTGTATTGGCACTTTGGGCCTTCCTCAGTCCCAGACCCATGCATATGTGTGGGTCCCAGTAATTTCCCCTCAGGGTCTGCTGCTGCTGCGGTCATCTGGCCTGGATTTCGGACTGGGTGTCTTGAATCTAGACCCCATATTAGACTTAGACAGAACTGGAAACCTGCCCTTTGACTTCCTTTTGGACAGACACACATTCTGCACGAACAGACACTCATACTGTACGAACAGACACACATATTGCACGTACAGACACATCTCTTACCTGAACAGACATGACCTACACACCCTCTGGACGAACAGAGGTGACCTCCAAATCTAAACATTGCAACTGTTCGTTCAGGGGAACAACTGTGACCTTTGACATTGGCTTTTGGTTTAACTAAGATGTGACTTTTGACCCAGAGAACATGTCCTTTGATCTGCTTTCACGAGTTGGACCCTGGCGAGTGACCCCTCTATGCTGCATTTGCCGAGCAGGGTCTGAATCGGGTAAAGGCCCTTTTACCTGTGCTCCGGGGGGCATAAACTCTGCAATGTGCGTGTCCAGCTGCATTTGTAAGATGCCGGCTGCTGCCTCAGATCGGCAGTGTCCTACCTTGAAAGAGGACCAACCTTGGAGTGTGACTCCTCTCATTTTGCCATTGTCAACTGGTGTCAGGCCAACCACCCATTTCCCATTTTTCTTTCGGACCGGGAGTAGCAACATCGCCACTTGCGACAGCGGTCCTGTGTCCTGGCCCATCTCAATCAGGTGCCTTAATTTTGCTTCTTCTCACAAGATCCAGCGGTGTATTCTCGTCCATGTCCGGGGGGGCCGGGTCCGGTGGCGGGACTGGCGGCTGAAGGGTCGGCAGGGGTGGGACCTCCCCCGTCTGATCGTTTACAGTTCTCCTCTGCTGCAGCTGGGTGCGGTGCAAGGGGTGGCTGGAACCTCGCAAACACAATGGAGGCCACTCTGTGCCACACTTCCGTCCACTTGACACCGGATTGCAGACCATTTTCTGGGACGTTCTTGAGCGCGGCGCTCGTGTCCAACATGGGAACAGATCTAGGTACGTTCTCTCCCAAAAGTCGTCCGTGAGGGGGCCATGTTTCGCCTTTAAGTTGGTCATTATGCAAGGGGTGGCTGGAACCTCGCAAACACAATGGTGGCCACTCTGTGCCACACTTCCGTCCACTTAACACCGGATTGCAGACCATTTTCCGGGACGTTTTTGAGCGCGCCGCTCGTGTCCAACATGGGGAACAGATCCAGGTACTTTCTGTCCCAAAAGTCGTCCGTGAGGGGGCCATGTTTCACCTTTAAGTTGGTCATTAACCAGTCTGCAATATCGACCAGTTTCTGCTGCACCGGCAGGTGCAGCGGCGGGGTCCCTTCCTCCTCTCCCTCCTCACATGGTAGACCTTCTGGCACTGCGCAGGCATTTTCCGGGAGCGGGTCAACCTCCATCGGTTCAGGGTCAAACGCAGGTAGGAAGGGGTCAATCTTCATCATCTGGTCCTCCTGCGGATCCCCCTCATGCGCCTGATCCACCGCCCTTGATCCCTTAGACCCATCTGCCACCTCCATTTCGCCGCCTTTCGTTTGCTCCCCCACCCCTCTCTCCCTGCACTCCGAACCCTGCTGCTCAGTGGAGCTGTTGTATATTGTCTCAATCTGCATTGCCATCTCATCTGCTCCCTGCTGCCCCGCCGTGTCGCCCGGCCCCTGTCCCTCCGCCGCGTTTCCTACCCCCTGTTGTCCCGTCATCCCGCCCTGTTGTCGTGGGGAGGGTTTGCTGTTTATTTCGGCCCTCCCATTGTCCCCCTCTGGGATGTAAGGTGCCGCTGCCTGGCCCTGGGCCGCTCTGGGGACTATTTTGCCTTTTTCTTTATCCTTTCCTTTCTCTTTATCTTCCTGTTCCGGTCTGGATTCTATTTGCTGTTTTTGAACCCAGAACCCCCTCCCCCCTTCTTTTCCCCCACTCCTCCAGTATGTTCCTTCCGGGCTCCCTTTCGGAGGGCTCAATTGCGTCCTCTGGACCTTTTCTTCCACCGGAGCCGAGAGAACCCAAGTGTTTGGGGGACGTGTCTCCCATTCCGGCTCCCCATTCCTCTCCCATATCCATCCCACCGGATGTCCTTCCTTTGTGCGATCTTCCACGAATACCCACCCTTCATGCCCCGGATCGACCGTTCTCCAATGTGACATCTTGATCGGGTCTCTCAACAGCCTTCCTGTTATTCGCTCTCTTTTCTGTGGGTGCAGCGGGCAACCGTATTCGGTGCTCAGGTGTCCATATACTCTACATTTATCGCACCATGGTCGCAGTTTGTGTGCGGTGTGTATCATATACTCCTTTCCCCCCACTCGATACGGGATCACATCATCGAGGGAGAAAGGCTGGCCCGGGGGGAAATCCAGGGCGAGCATCAGGTAATCATCCCTCTTAGCCACGTAGGAGGGGAGGGGATCGATGAAGGCAACAATATCATAGAGCAAACCAAAATCATATACAAAAGCTGCCTGGATTTCGACCGGGATGTGGCGAAAGTCGACCCAGTGGAAATCCTGCATCAATTGTGCCCTCTTCTCCTCCGGTCCCAACCTTCGCTGCGGTACCCACGGGTAGATCCGCACCTCCGACCGTTCACAGAGGAGCCGCCTCCAGCCACCAATCACTTTTTTGTCTGCTTCATGCAAAGAGAGAACGGTAAACAGGGTGTTTGTGACAGATTGTATCAAAAAGTGATCCCGGGCCAGATCGACACTATTTTTCAAGATTTCAAGTCGGCTACCAATCAATCTGGCTTTATCGTTAACTGACTTGAAGGCCACATCGTCGTGAAAAACCCAATTGCTCGCGTGTTTTGTATAGATTTCATCTCTACTTGCAATTCCATGGTTGGGATAAACTTTCACCATGACTTGCTTGCCCCCTTGGGTCACAACCCTTGTTTCAGACGGGAGCAAAAATTTGGTCATGAAGAATGCTCGTGCCTGCGGCAACCCATCTAGGGGAATCTCAAGCTTCCCCGTCCGCGGTGTCGAGCGCATTGATCCGGCACCGCACGAGGCAGCGCGGGAGCCTCCCGGCCGCGTCACGCAGAAGTTGGTTCTTAATCCTTCGTCGCAAATATACATGGAGCTTCCACAAGCCGCTCCGGCCGAGTGCGCCAGCCATACCTCCCGCGAGCCCCTACGAAAGGATAGGGCCTACGCGAGGCACGACTTACCTCCACCTTACGGGAGCTGTCACCTCCCTTCGATGGGCGTATCCCCGCCGAGCTACCAGTCCACAGTACAAAAGTTAATCAGTTGCAATCGCAGAGGTGGACCAACCGAGGGCGTTTCTCGTTCGCTGTAGCATATGGGGTACGCGCGGTAATACGCCTCTATCGGACCCGCACGCGAACCGACATCCTGGGGGGCTGAGGTCCCAAGCGCGACTCGTCGTCGATCGACTAGGACGCATTCCACACACCACGCGCACATCACTTTACGAACACAAAAATAAAACACACACACACACACACACACACCAGACAACGCCACAACACTCCTAGTCCCTTCAGTAACCATCCCTTAACTCTTCGATGCGGAAATCGGATAGGCGTCATGCGCGAGACTTAGTATAAACCCGCGCGGACGCAGGGCCTACTCATATCGACTCGCAATGCAAGCGTACGCAAGCGGTCGCAGCGATGGCGTACTATGTAGTACCCATACTCGTGCAGTCCTCGTTAATCTCGAGGGTCGCATTTAACACAAGTATCGGTTGACACGCGCCTTGAGGGCTAATCTCTCGACGCTGGACAACCGCCATGTGCGGTTGAAGACCACACACCCTCTTCTGCACCCTGTGCAGAGTGGGTGGTACACAGGTCCATACATGTGGTGGCTCGTTTCTTGCTGCCCTGGAGGTGAATTCCACTCCGGGCCCGGACAGAAGTCAAGGGGTTTGACTTTGACGGATGCCACGGACTATGACGTCCAACCATGATAACTCTAAAAAGCAGAAGTAGGTCGGGGGTCTCCCTATTCCAAAAGAAATCGTGACCCTGGGGTACCCTCCCGTTTTCGGGTGGTGCCAGAAGCCTATAATAATCCCAAGTGTTCGTGCGTGCGTGCGAGTCCCTTGATCCCATAACCTTTAGAGGCTAGGGCGGCGAGACGTCGCGTGCAGGATCCTAATATAAGGCTGCGCGGCTGCAAGCCAGTCCCGTACCAACCAATGATGCGAGTCATACGTGGTAATTGCGGCTCCGGCCTCGTGATATTGAATGGCTGAAGGAATATATCGTGAGGAGTTATCCCCCACGATATTGAACGGCTGAAGGACATGCCGTTCGGCCCTCGCGACACTTCTGCCTTCGGGGTTGGATGTCTCGACGGGCAGAGTAAATAGGTTCTACGCGAGGGGAGATCCCTTCCCTGTAGAGTCTAGGGCTTGGGGTGTCCTGGACAAGGACCTTGAATCCCGTCCGAGGACCAACGTCTGACTAAGGAAAACCCCTTAAGAAGCAAACAAGAAGAAGGACGGGTCTTCCCTATGCCTCTCAGTCTTAACCTCTGAGTAGGCTTTTAGCACGGGCCCCCCTTGGGCCACGCAAACATTCATTATAGGTCCACACTCGTATACATATATAAGGGAGTAAGTATGTGACGATCACTTCTCACAGTCTCAGTGGGGTTCTCCACAACCATGTGTATATATGTGATCGCAGGCAATCAAAGTCCAGAATCCGTGCCACAAAACATACCTGCAATCACACCAAAGAATCAAACAACAGTCCACGCACGGAGTCAACCCCAACCATTCTCTGCACTCATACCCCTCCCTTTAGCCATGCAAGCACCAATCCCTCGTCCAACCAACCATAATTAAATACTCAGCACCTTTGTTAAATGGCCATTCAATAAAAGTCCGGGTGAAAACCTTAATAAAACAATAAGATCACCAGGGCTAAAACCTTTTAGGTTGAGTTCGGAGTGTGAGTTGGAATTGAGTCATAGACCGACGAATCGGCCTCCGACCTGTTATCAGTGATAACAGAAGATGATCCTTGTAGGATCAAGCTGAAATTGGTTCAAATCCTGAATCAAATGGTCCAGAGGGCCTGTAACACAAGACAGACCAATCCCCAGGCTAAGCCTATAAGTCCATGGAGAATAAACCACATATCATGATCTCACCTAAGTCATCCTAATTGACTAAGCCTGATCTATTGCTAAACAGTGCCCAAAGAAAAGGTAGACTCTGGCATAATCTCCCCTATACAGAGTGGATCGCCAGAATCGCCACCTGTCAAAATATAATCTAACTCCTTTAAACTAAGAAAATTTCGGTAGCGCTTCCCGTAGGAAAAGTGCCTTTCCATAACTTATATCAGCCCGAATATAAAGTCAGAAATAGTCCTTGACTTTCCAAGGTCCAATTTTGTCTAACTCCCCGAATTAGCAAAAATTTGGGCAACACTCCCTTTAGAAAATGAAACTTCCCAGATTTTTACTAAGTCATATATGAACTTTAAGACAAGTTGAACTTTGAAAAGTTAAAATTTGACTATAGCTTGGATTTGCATAAATTTTGGCAGCGCTTCCCGTAGAGAAAGTAACTTACCAAAATTTATACACAGCCAAGTATAACAAAAGATCCCAGAAAATGCGAAAATAGATCTAAGTAAAATAAACTTAGCTTAGAAAATGCAGGAATGAAGGCTAACTCCTATCGCTCTAGCACGTGGCGAGCCTCTAAAGCAACTACCTGTCAAAATGAAACTCAGACCAAGTAGTAGCCTCACTCAGTCACATGCAGGCCAAACCACAAAGGTAAGTACTCTCACCATCCCAGTCAATTTAACAGACAATAGTCCATAACCTTTCAATGCTTTAACCCTTTATACCCCGCTTCCATAAGGCGTAAAGTCAGGCCATCCAATCTTATGGAACATGCTTGACTCAGCCATTAAGTATACATGAACAGGTTGCACAACTACTTTTCTCTTCCTTTGAGCACATGACTAAGCCATTCATCTTAGAAACAATGCCTAGTCGCCCTGAACTGTTTAA